GAGTGCATGTGAGAGGGTGAGAGAGATGACAGTGGTTGAGGCGTAGGAGTGAGCATGGTCGTCGCGTTCTGGCGTGTGCGGTTGCAGTGTGTTGAGACGCGTTTGTGCATTGTGTATGTGTGCGCGTGTGCACGTGGACGAACGCGCGTCCGTGTGATTGTGTGCTGGTGTGAGTTTGTCTCACCTGGCTCTGGTCGACACGCGGTCTCTTGTGTCAAACAGCGTCACGTCCAACCCCTGAGAAGCGACATTGTCAAGGCAATGTGAGCACGTCTTTGGAGAGAGAAGCTGAAGCAGATAAAGCTGTGCACATACGCGCGTGCACACACGCACACACGCACACACGCGCGCACAAACCTTGTAGTAGAAGTCACTGATGATGTCGCTGCCAACAGCGAGGTCATAAGTGTGCACCCACGACCTGCCAAAAGGGAAAGAGATGGGAGGTTGTGGTGAATGTATCCACGCCTACACACACACACACACACACGCACACACACACACACACACGCACACCCACACACACGCACACACACACACACGCACACACACGCACACACACACACACACACACACACACGCACACACACATACACCGCGCGCGCTTCCGTTTTTCTTCTCACCCGCAGAGAACGTCGTCGGAGAGCTTTTCCCACGTGGCCATGCGCATCTCGCCCTCTGTAAAGACCTTTCCGCTGTTGTGGTGGATCACCATGTCGTTCTTCGACACGCGCTCGTCGTGTGGCGGCACAAACTCGTAGTGGATATACGAGCTGTTGACCACGGCCTTCTGGATGCTCGTCATGCGGCCCGTCATCAACTCTGGGCTCTCCGGGTGCGGCTCGAGACCAGAGAACCGTGGCATGACGCTGCTCTTCCGACCGCCGCCCACCGACACGCTCGTGCGCCCGCCCGGGGTGAGGAACTGGCCCTGCGACGCGCGGCTGCGGCGTTGGCTGCGGCTCTGGCTGCGGGACTTTGGCGGCGTTAGCTTGAGGCGGGATGATCCTGTTGACGGGACTTGCGACAGGCGCCTGGTACCAAGGCGGTGCAGAGCAGCAAGCGAGTGTGCGCGTGTGAGTGTAATGTGTGTGTGTGTGTTGTTTTTGTGTGGGGTTGCGTGTGTGCGTTTGTGTGGGGGCACACGTGAGCCGCTTGGTTGGTTGTGTGGAAGAGTGAGCTGAAAGACAAGAGAAAAGAGCACAGACACAAGGGTGAAGGGGTGGCATCACGGCATGGTGGTGCAACACTTACTTTGGATTCGGTGTTTTGGATCCAAGGTCTGTGTAAGAGACATTGCAAGGGCATCGTGTGTGAGTGTGTATGTGTGCGTTGGGGGGGGGAATGGGGTGGGGAGCGATGGCTGCTTTGCAGCGCCAGCGCAGGTGACTGCTCGCCACTGGACTCTTGCGTGGATAATCCACTCACCGCCTCCCGTGGCCAGGACGTCGAGTTTCGAGGACACAACGTCCTCTTCGTCCGCAGGTACATCTGTGGTGGCGATAGCGCAGCGAGGGGTGGCATGAGAACTCAGGTTTGTATCGTAGGGTGGAGGTGAGCATCGTATGGCGAGAAAGCTTGGGACAAGTGTCCATACATTGCCCTCCAGTCAGTCGCACAGACCTGCCGGCACGTAGAACATGAACTTGATGTTCATCGATATTGGATGGATGCCGGGGTGGCGCAACAACTGGTGCACCTTTCGCTCGCGTCTGCGTGCATTTGTGTGTGTGTGTGATTGTATGTGTGTGTATGTGTGTGTGTGTGATTGTATGTGTGTGTGTAATTGTATGTGTGTGCGTAAGTGAGTGTGTGTGTGTATGTGTGTGTATGTGTATGTATGTGTGTATGTGTGTGTGAGTGTGTGTGTGTGTGTGTGTGTGTGTGTGTGTGTGTGTGTGCGAGGCTTTGGTGGAAGATGTTGTGGTCACCATACAGACACATGCATTCGCAAACGATGCGCGGGTACGTACCTGCTTGGAGCGCGGCGTCTGCCTGCGGCAGTGCCAGGCGCACTTGGGTTGGTGCTCATGGCGACGGTGCTGGCGCGTGTGCGTGCTCGGCGTCAGACACCACCTCGCTGCCTACGGAACTGGCTCGCGACCTGGTTCCAAACACGGCTCTGAAGCGGATGTGATTTGGTTCACACCTCTCTTCTGCTGATGCGTGTGGATGTGCGTGTGCACTGTTCTGTGAGTGCGTCGTGCCCTCCCCGCCCCCGCCCCACCTTGCTCCCTTGCTGTCAACCTTCCTCCCTGCCCTGTCCCTGCTCCTGCTTGTGTGGGAAGGATAGCGAACAAACAAACACACCCACGTTGTCACACCACACCCAAGCAACCCAACGCCACCACCACCTTGTTTTGCGTGTCGCTGTTGTTGTTGCCAAGAAAAAACAGCAAAACAGCAAAGGGCAAAACAACAGCGCGCAAACTGTTTTGTGTGACGTGTGATTTGACGCAAGTGGATAAGCCCTCTCCGTTAAACCCAGCCACGAGACGACGGAGCAACGGAGACAGCACTAGAGCACTAAGACAGGGGAGCCGGTGCTTGATCTCGCCCCTTCTTTCCCGTTCCCTTGCTGTCTTATGTTTTTTCATGCTGCCTTGAGCTAATATGTTATGTTAACAGTACAAACGGTTCATTGTTTGCCCACGAGGGCTTCCTGGCGGGGGTGCTGGTAGACATCCGTCGTTGTTACATTACGTGATGGGAGGAACAACCGAAGAAGCAAGCGAGCCAACAAGTAAAAGGACTGAAGCAACTTGGCTGTAAACGATGGGGGTCAGGGCTCTCTGCGATGTTGGGAAGATAAATCAATCACTCAAGCAAGCAAGTACACACTTGCCGCCTTGGTACACGATGAAACACCAACGAACACATAGGCACGCACACACAGAACAAGACAACGTTCGCTCTCACGCGACCTCAACACGGAAAGGCATGAGAACACACACACGTGCGCACGCACGTATACACAAACACACGTATGCACGCACACGCACGCACACACACACACACGTACGAACATAGGCGCACACACGCACACGCACACACGTGCATGCCACGGAGCTCAGCTTGAAGGGAAGAGCGAATCGAATCGCTTCTGGTCCATAATGAGACGCATGATAAACCCATGCTGCGTGTCGTGTCTAAACCACCAGTCCCGCGTGCGCGTCTGCTTGTTCAGCGCAATCGTCAGGTCACGCACAAGCATCGACTCAATCTCAAGGAAGAATTTGCACGTCTCCGACTCCTCGATGATGGACAGCAGATCCTCAAAGTCCTGCACAAACGGCGTGTAGGGCTCAGGGAAGCCAAAGTCCGACCCTGTTGTTGTTGTTGTTGTTGTTGTGCGTATGCGTTCGTGTTTTACGTAAGGAAAAGGGCAAGGGCGCGTGTGAGACGCAGCACAGAGATGAAGAACGTGCTGTGCCTCGCCTTGGCTTGCGGGCACAGGCATGGACATGCACACACACACTCACACATACTCGCGCATACTCGCACGTGCACGCATGCGCATACACACAAACACAGACGTGCACATGCACGCAAAGCGACAACGCACGCGTCTCGAAGGAGCGGCTGATGGTGAGGACGATGCGTTCTGGCGACGCCTTGATGCGGTCAATCACCTCCTGGTGCGACAGGCTGCCCACGTCCTCGTTGTTGATCTTGAGAATCTGGTCACCAACACGGAGGTCCGCGTGGAGCGCAGCGCTGTTTGGCAGTACCTTCCCCACCATGGGCGGTACGGACGAGCCATATCCGCCAACGACCGTGAACCCAAAGCTGCCGCTCAGCCGCTGGAACGTCACAATCTCCACGCGACTGGCGACGGCGATACACTTTGGTGTGTGGCGCAGCGCACGCTGGTACTCCTGCACGAGTTGCATGCGCTGTCGTTGGATGGACGTGAGGGCGGCCTTCCTCTCTGTCAGCGTCTGCGACTCCTGCTGTAGGATGCTCTCGTACGGCTCAAGCGCCAGCTTCGATCCAATGCTCTCAAGGTGCGTCACGTGCGCCAGGTATGCCTTGGACCGCTGGTTCAGCAGCTGAATGTGCACCGCCGCTTTTGTCAGGTCTGGATAGAGGCGCATCAGATCGTCTCTCGAGTCTGCGAGGGCCGCCTGCTCGTAGCTGTCACGCACGTGGCCGTACCGCGCCAGGGCCAGCCGTCGGTGCTGGTCATACACCTGTATAGCGCATGCAAACACGTGGTGAGTTGCATGCGCGCGCTTTGTATGGTTGTACTTGTGTGTTTGTGTGTCTGTGTGTTTGTGTGCTTGTGTGGGTGTTTGTGTGTGTGTGCTTGCTTGTATGTGTAGACGTGTTTGTATGTGTTTGTGCGCAGAGCGCTGGAGGGGGGTCGATGGTGGAATCACGAACACGTTCGCGTGCACTTGTGCACCAGTTTTGGCGTACAATGAGGTCGTCGCGAAGGGTGCGAGTTGTCACGGAGATGAGGTGCCTCAGGTCTGCAACTGAACGCGAGTATGAACACATGCACGTTGCCCCGATGAGTCCTGTGTGAACAGACAGGGTACACGCAGTCACAACCACCCGAGCACACGCACGTATACACATGTACACGTGTACACAAGCATACACACGCAGATACTACACGTACATGGGACACACGCACAATGAATTCACCCCGATACCTTCGTAACTCTGCTGCTCAATCTTCGCTTCGAGGTCGCGCTCCAGGACCAGGCGCACGTGGTCTGGGAACTGGCGAACAAGCTCAACAACCTCCGTGTGGTCGCAGTTGGACACGTCCCGCCCATTCACTTTCACTGCACGGTTCATGATGGGGGGGGGGGGGCAAAGTGCGATTTGAGGTGGGCGGCAGGGGTGTTACTTGTGAGGGTGAGGAGGCCAAGGGCGGTGGTGGATGAGTTGGAGGAACTGCACTTAAGTGTCGAGCAAGTCGGTGAACAGACGCAGGAGAGACCGTGCAGCACGGCACACACACACACACACAAAAAAAAAAGAGTACTCTTTACACACACACACACACACACACACACACACACACATGCAAGCAAATTCAAGGCAACACGCATACCAATCTTGTCGCCGATGCGCACGAGGCCCTCGTTGTCCACAACGCTCCCGCTCTTGAGGTGGCTGACCCGGTAACAGTCCGTCGCCTCGTCATATGTGATGGCAAACCCATATGTGCCTGATGGCGGGCGCTGGATTGTGAGCTTCAGCCGTGCAGGCTCCGTGCCCACGCGCTGCTGCTCGCTGTGTGTGCTGGACCCTGTTGCAGAGCACACGGGAGGGGGGACGTGGGTGGGGAGTTGTGGTTGGCGTAAGGTGGCGAGTACATATCATGTAGAGGGAAGGAAATAATGGTGGATTGCTTCTGCTGACGATGGACCGCGCAGTGACGACAGACCACACACACACACACACACACACACACACCCATACACACCCACCACACACACACACACACACACACACACACACACACACACACACACACACACACACACACACACACACACACACACCGCGCGCGCGCCTACGCACCGTCTTCGACGTCCATGGTGCGCTCGATGGAGAAGAGGACGAGCTCGCCTCGCGGGACGCGGCTGAGGAGATCCACCAACATCTCGTGGGTCAGGTGCTTCGTATCAACGCCGTTGACCGCCAGCAGGTGGTCCCCCGGCTGCAGCTTGCCGTACGCCGGGCTTGTCTTGAACACGGTGTGGATGAGCATCTTCTCTGGGTACATGCCGGCAACCGTGAACCCAAAGCCACCCTCAACAGGGCGCTTCACCTCGTGTGTCAGGTGCACGTGCTTCTCCTTCCGACTTGTCACAGAAGGACTGCGTGCAGGCAAGCGCGCAGACCGAAGCGACGCGGACTTGCGTGGGGACGGGCTCTTCGACCCGAGCGAGCGGCTGCGCGAATTGCTCCCGCGCGGGTCAATGTATGTCGTGCGCTTGTTCAAATGACTGGGGGTTGGTTGTTTCGGTATGTGTGTGTGTGTGTGTGTGTGCGGGGAGGGGGAGGCAGAGTCACGGCGCGTGGAGGAGCGAGCGGTGGCTTGTGAGCGAGCGGTGGCGTGTGAGCGAGTGTTTGCTCGACCTACACGCAAGCAAGGATCCTAACCACCTGCACATACACCCACGCACTTCACATGCAATCACAAAAGCCCGTGCCAGCAAGGCGGTCAACATACTCAATGTAGTAGGTGCCATGTTCCCTGTCGCGCACCACATCCCACCCGAACGGCAGGTCTGTTTCGCGGTTGTGACGTACACACGCACAGGCGATCACGTGAGTGTGGCAAGTTGACAGCAGACAGGGCAATCAACAGGGTTAGCAAAGACGAGATAAGCGCCTACCACTTTCGCTCTGACTGGCTAATCGTTCGATGCGCGGGTCTATCATGTGTGTCATCTGCGTATCTCGACTACACGGCAAAGAACGGGGAAGGTGTGTGCGTGTGTGTTGGGGGGGGGGGCGGGAGGAAGAGATAGAGTTGTTGAGTGTAGGCGACGAAAGGGGCACACGCATGCGCACGCAAGCACACTCATGCACGCGCACGCAAGCACACTCATGAACGCGCACGCGCACACTCATGCACTCTCGCTCACCCATACACACCTGCACTCACACACACACACCTGCACACACACACACACATACATACGCTTGCATACTCGCATACCCGCCCCTTCATACACGCACGCACTGCCGTCGAGCTTACTTGAAGAAGCATTCTTCACCGGAGGATGTGTATCGTATCTCCCAGCCGGGAGGAAGAGGTCCCAGGTCGCGGTCACGCGAGACCTCTCGCTCAAGATCCCATTGCTCAAGATCCGAGCGCTGCTGTGCAATCTGGCTGATGCCCTTCTCGAGCTGCTCTGGTGCAAGCCCGCCGACGACGGCGCCGTCCTGACTGTCGTCCAGGTCTTGTTCGTCAGGGTGGTACACGCCGGAGCTGAGGGATCGGCTGCGCTTTCGACCCAGGCTGCGCAGGCTGCTGAGGCTGCGCGACAGGTTCTTTCGCAACCTGCCCAAGGACGAGGATCTTGCGCGCGTGGTGCTCTCCTCTCTGTCCTCTGTCCTCCCACGCCTCGTCTTTGTGCTTTTGCTTCGGAGGCGGTTCCACAACCTCGAGAGCGAGTTACCCCGCTTCATGCTGCTGTCTTTCCTCGGCATCTCGAACTCCTTTTGCTTTGATACCGGCTATCGGAGCAAGAGCGCATGCATGCATGTGCGTGTGTGCGTACGTGTAAAGTGTGCGTGCATGCGTGCGTGTAAAGTGTGCGTGAGTGAGCTCAAGGGGACACTGGCAGACACGTGCGCAACGCACTCGTCAAGCGACCAATCTGCGAATGGACTCCAGTCAACGGCAGGCACGATACGGGCGCTCAGGCACGCAAGCAAACGCGCGCACACACACACACACACAACTCACACACGTACACACAACTCTCTCTCACACACACACACACAACTCACACACGTACACACATACACACATACACAAAGCCAGCTGCACTACGCACTCCGCTTTAGCGCTGCAGAAGAGATGAAGGTCTGGTGGTGTCTCCTCTCTTGGGTTCAACGACGAGGTTTTTGTGTTCGCCTGCCTCTCTTTGCCTTTGTGAATTTTTTTTTATTTTTGTTTGAATGGCGGCCGAAAATGCGTTGGAATCTTGGCTGATTCGCCCGCTTGTTTTGGTTGTGGCATTTTCGTGCCTTAGTTCTTTCGCTTTTTGACTGGTGAAGGGAACGACAGCGCAAAGGAGGTCGTTGTGTGTTGTGCGAGGAAGAAAAGTTGTTGGTTGTGTGTGTGTGTGTGTGTGTGCAGGTGTGATTGCGCTGCTGGTGGAGCACGGCTGCACGGAGGACGGACGGACGGGACAAGGGCACAGGGCAGACGCATCCGCTGCATGAGCTGATCCCCGACCATGACAACACCAAAGTTGTTTCGTGCCATCGCAGACTTTTCGTCTGACGATGCAGAGGATCTCCAGTTCCGGGCTGGTGCCACCATCATTGTCACAGATCAAGGCGAAGGCAAAGAGTCCTGGTGGTAGGTACACTACAAATGCGTGCGTGTGTGCGTACACGTGCGTGTGCATGTGTGTGTGTGCGCACACGTGCGTGTGCATGTGTGTGTGTGTTCGTGTGTGTTCGTGCGTGTGCATGTGCGTGTGCACATGCATGTGTATATGTGTGCGTGGCGGAACATGCTACGTCCATGCGATTTGCGTGACTTGCGTGACTTGCGTGACTGGCGTGACTGGTGTATTGTGCTTATCGCTGACCCATCCCACCACGCACACACAACACACACATGTTTCTTTTATCCCCTCCCCATCCTTCTAGGGAGGGTGAGCTCGATGGCAAGAAAGGCACCTTCCCCGGCACGTTTGTTGAGCCGCTGTCCAAGTTTGTGAGGCAAATGGGTGCCCAGGTAAGCATCAACCACTGGCTGCGCTGCAATGCGTCGCGCAGGAGAGCACACAGTCACAGTCACACACACACACATACACGTGTTCACAGAGGTATACACGCACAATCACACACGTGTACACGCACACGCACACGTGTACACGCACACGCACACGCGTAAACACACACGCACACGCGTAAACACACACACACGTGTCCATGTGCTCACATGATGATTTTCCATGTCTGTGCCTTGCTGAATGCAGGCGTTCAGTGTTGCAGACAAGGACAAGGAAGAGGAGGAGGAGGACGAGGAAGAAGAGGAAGAACAAGCAGAACAAGGAGAGAAACAGTCACAGCAAATCAGGCAGTTGCAAGCGAGCAGTCCAACCACTGGCCGCGCAGCCCCGCATGGTGCCGCTAAGCGTGTCAGGTTTGATCTTGGCTCCTCCACAATGTCGGAGACATATGGCAAGTTTGAATACGACCGTAGTGGCGAGTTCAACCCCGACAGATCACACCAGGAATGGCTGCTGGAAGAGGTGCGTCGCAGGGAATGCGTTGCAGCCGACACACAGACAGTGCCACGTGCGCGTACATGACTTGTTCCCACCTGTGTTTTTTTTTTTTTTTTTGAGCTGGACACGACACGACCATGCTTGCCCATGCCTCCAGCCGTCCACTCATCATCATCATCATTATCGCGTGTTCGCTCCCCAATAGGCGGAAGAGAAGCTGCGCATGCTGCGCGACCGCTGGTCATATCTCGAGTCAAAGCTCCCGCGCGGACAGAAGTGCGAGGAACGCATCGCCTATGAAAGGTCAGTGCACATCTCACACATACATGCTTGCGTGCGCGCGCATGAGCAGGAATGTCAAAGGTGGGCAGAAACGAGACGGTTGCGGCAGTGTGGGTGCGCCCATGACATACGCTTGCCTTGCTCACACGTGCCTGTTAACGTTGATGGTGAACGTCAGGGAGCAAGAGGAGAAAGAGAGAATACAGAGGGCGGAGGAAGAGCGGAAGCGACAGCGGCGCCTACAGATGAAGTTGAAGCTGCAACAGGTACACATTCTGCTTGCGACCATGCACGGAGCGCGTATGCTTGCTCGTGCTTGTGGGCGCACGTGTGCATGTTTATTTGTGGGCGCACGTGCTTTTAAGCGTATGTGTGTGCGTGTGTGCGTGTGTGCGTGTGTGTGCGTGTGCGTGCGATCTGCCCACGTCGAGTCGAAAGGGCAGCGTGCTCGATGTCAACAGTACTCATGG